CAGGTGGTTGTACAGGAATCTCGTTATTTGCTGTATTAGTTTCCCTGGTATGTTCCTTACTGACATACGGCATACTCAGACTTGTCGGATGGGCCGTTAACGGATTCATAAAAGATAACTAAAACATTATCGCAGCCCCTCACACTGAAGGGCTGCTGTAATGCCTGTTACTCACGAATCAAACGAGCATGCTGACCACTCATTTCAATGCGTAAGTATTGTGGCTTGCCGTCAATCAACGCGGTGATTAACTTGTCACCTGTAGGTTTCCACATAATTTTCTCCTGCTTTAATGCCCCTTGCCGCCTGGCAGTAGATCAAAGTTCATCTTGATTCGGCAAGATTTAGAATGAATAAGATAAAATTGGCACACGCAGCAGAATTTCATGCTTTCAAGACGCTGGTGCACCCTTCATTTTCAGCAAAATACTCTGCTTTATCTGAATGTTCAGGATAAACAAAAAAGACACCAGTATCGCTACCAGCGCCCATTTCGCCGCCGTTCGCGGCATTCTGTGTGTCCAGTGTTTTCGGCTCATGTCACCACCAACGCACAGCCCAAATCAGAACAGCGACCGCCACAAGGCGAATTGCAAAGGCCGCAGCCCTTGTCAAATCAAGGCTCGCGGGAGTTTCCACTTCAATACCTTTCATAATGGACAACCTCAAAAAGAATCTTTTATACTTTCCCACGAGGATTTTCTCCGTACTCACTACTCACAATTTCCTCTTTGACGTGAAAACTAAAAACCCCGGACTGTTCCAGCAGCCGGGGTTTTTGCTTTTTATTTACTGCCTTGGGTGCGGCATCTGGCTATTTCATTCCTGGCTTTACTGTCACCGCGACAGATACAACGCACCGTGTCTCCGGTCAGCGTGGTAATGTAAGCCTCATCCTCTTTTTCTACCGGAATACATGGAATATCCCCGCCCAGGCAATACTCAATTTTTGCTGCAAGATGAGTGTCACGCGGATAGAACTCCAGACGATACATATTCCCCAGAACATGCACTTCTTCAACCTGACGACCATCTTTAGTTACCGTGATTTTTTTCAGTGCGTACATACGTACCTCCGTTCTTTCGTTTTTTGAGCAATAAAAAAGCCGCTCATGGCGGCCCTGTATGTTTTGCAAGCTATCGCTTCAATTGAAAATGTGGGCCGTCTTTAAGCGTCCGCCAGTCACCGCCCCATTCGATGGCAGTTCCAAGCTCTGCGGCAGCTTGCTTAAATGCCTGTGCGATTTTCTCGTACAGAGGCCAGTCCCATGACACCTGGCTGCCAACATAAGCCACAACATCCACAGCATCACCGGTCAGGTGGCGGCTGTTCATGGTCTGGCTCTTACCTTCTGCAACCAGCTGTTTCTGGCGATACTTACTGCGCAGACCTTCCGTAATACCGAAATCAACCTCCGTCAGCTCCAGCGCACGGCGAACAACAGCAACCAGCTGTGGTTTGACGCCCTCCAGATTTTTTTCACTGCGACGACTGAATCTGAATTTACCGGGCATACTCACCTCCGTAATGAAAGGATTTTTGATACGTTCCCGCGTGCTCGTATCACCAGCACGCAGAACACCAGGTTAATCAGGACGACCAGCCAGTTACCGGGTGGAAAGCGACCACACAGATAACAAAGCGGCGCAAAGGCATAAAGCAGCATCAGCAGCCAGGCCAGCCACGACATCAGCGGTTTATGTCTCGACTCACCACGACGATAAAAAAAGAGCGTCAGCACGATAACCGTGCTTAACACCACATTCAGTAATCCGGGAAGGTTACTTAACATTACCGCCTCCACCCCGCAGACGGGAGAACAGCCCGGATACCAGCGATGCGATATCCTGCTGGTGGATGAATGAGAGAATCTTCACCGACACCACCGATACCAGTACCGCGCAAAGCGCGTCGAGAGATGTGCTGTGGAGATTCAGTTTTTCAACCAGGTAAGACGCCATCACATCCGCCCCCAGCACGCCAACAATGAACGACACCAGAAAATGCGCTGCCACACGCCAGACAGAAATCTTCTGTGGTATCGTGGCCACAAACAGCGCCCCTGCGAATGCACCAAACACAATACGAAAATCCGTTCCGGTAAACAGCCCGAATACCGTCGCCCCGCCGAGCGCCGCAGCCGTGCCGGAACCGGATAAGGGTTCAGACATACGTTTTTCTCCTGTAAATAAAAAAGGGCCACTGTCGGCCCGTAAAAAAACACCCCGTCAAAGGCACCCGCAGATACCTTTTGTGTGGTGCTTATCTGATGTGATGTGCGCCAGGCGTGGCGCGGATATGAAAAAGGCCCGCCGCAGCGAGCCATATGCATAGGTAAAAAAAATGCCCACACATAAGGCGGGCTAACGCAATGTAATGATGAAACAGAGTTTACTTGTATAGATGTTATAAGAATGCGCCGTCAGCCTGCTGTGCAGGCTGGCAAATCGTAGGCCCGGAAACAGACAACGACGCATTCTGGTATCACCTCATCCCTGCAACATGCAGGGATGACTACAAAAAAAAGCACTGAAACTGTAGGCGGTCAGGTCTACAGAATGAAGAACAACAAATCCACCTGCCAGGTCTGTTCTTCACGAAAATTCGCCAGTGCTGATAATAAAGCTATGACTCATCAGTTTTACTGGAGAGCGGGTGGCGGGAATCGAACCCGCATCATCAGCCTGGAAAGCTGAGGTAATAGCCATTATACGATACCCGCATACTGTACTGGCTTCCGGACTCACACGAATTACCAGGAAAGCCAGCACTGGTATTTCCGGTGGCAAGCAACACCCCTGTGAACATAAAGACAACCACCTTCCGGACCAGTCAGAATACTAACGACAGTTTTTCAGACATCAAAAATATATTTGGTGTTCAGTTTTAAATATGTGTATACATCTGTATCAGAAATATACAACTTATATCATCACTGAATTAAAAATCTTTCGTTATTTCTCTGACCGTCTGATTAAAACGTTCCTCTTCCAGTTCCACGCCAATCGCCCTGCGTCCCAGCGACAGTGCCGCTTTTATTGTCGACCCCGACCCCATAAAAAAATCTGCGACCAAATCGCCTGGACGGCTGCTGGCAGTAATTATCTGACGCAACATATCCGCCGGTTTTTCACAGGGATGCTTACCCGGATAATACTGCACGGGCTTGTGCGTCCAGACATCCGTATAAGGAACGACAGCCGATACGGAAAAATAACGCCGCAGTGATTTGTATTCCTCCAGCAGGCTGGCATATTGCCGGTTCAGTTCGCTGTATGTGCTGACCAGCTGGTGGTGTGGCTGCTCCAGTTCACCGCGCTGGTGTTTTTCTGCCGCCACACGTGCAAACAGCGCCTGCAGTTTACTGTAATCGGCCTCATTCGGTAACTGCCACTGACTGGTACCAAACCAGTGCGAAGCCATGTTTTTCTTTCCGGTGGCTTCTGCTATCTGTTTTGACGTTATCCCCAGTGATTCACGCGCATCACGAAAGTAAGAAATCAGCGGGGCCATGACGTGCTGCTTAAGCTCGCGCCCTTTGCTGCATAACCGTCACTTTTGGCTGGTATGGCCCCTGATAATGTTCGGCAAACAGAATGCGCTCTGTTGCCGGGAAATACGCCCGCAGGCTTTCTTTGTTGCACCCGTTCCAGCGTCCGGACGGCTTCGCCCAGATAATGTGGTTCAACACATTAAAACGTTCACGCATCATGAGTTCGGTGTCAGATGCCAGTCGATGACCACAGAACAGGTAAAGACTTCCGGCAGGCTTCAGTACCCGCCAGAACTGTGCAAGACACTGGTCCAGCCATTGCAGGTAATCAT